TCTGACTAAAAATTATCTCTTTTATAACTTCAGAATAGTTGCACTTCTTCTAATAACCAAGGTTTCAATAATTTGCTACAAGGACTCTTGTTTCATTTAAACTTCTCCATCTTAACTGACTATCAGTGTCTGACAGGAGACTTTACCTATTGGTCTATTTTGGAAATAAACGTACACTCTCCTGTAATCATTCTATAATACTGTATAAACTCACTTCTTTATGTTCATCTTCTCGTGGAGATGGTTGTAAGAGAACATCGTCTTTTTTTTCTATGGCCATTATCTCTGGATCTGGTATGTTTTCATCTGTTTCTTCTATAGATATTGACACAGCTGTAGCAGGTCGAGATCGTGAACCACCTCTTTCTAATGATGATTTAGGACGGGTTCTGTAAAATAAAACTGAAGTGTTCAACTAACAAGCAGTTGCCATGCAAGATGCACCCACATTTTGTAAGAGATAGACAGAGAAAAAAGCTAAAAAACCCCAAAAAACAGAGATTTTGAGTACAATCAGGGGTCATAATCCAGGATGTCAATATCGAAAGGAACCAAGATTTTTGAGATATAAACATATTTAACTTTCATCAAAATCAGGTAAAAATTGTGACCTCTAGAGGGTGCACAAGTTTGGTATTACATGTTTATTATATATACTATCTGCATAAAGGGGAGTGGCCATTTTGACAGGAAGTTTCGGTCCAATTTTTACAATATTCGAACTCAACTGTAATTACTGTGTAACAGTGATATTTATGTTCAAACGTTTTTTAAAAATCAAATTAAAATTGTGACATCTAGAGTTTTTTTTGTACAATCAGGGGCAATAATCCATGAAGTTATTATATATATATTATAGTCCGATACATGCCAATATCAAAAGGAACCAAGATCTTTGGGATATAAACCCTGAAGGTGTACCAGCATAGTTTAGTTTGCAGTATTCAAATGAATAAAAGAAGTAATTTGTAAATTAAAATCACAAGAAAAGAAAGAAATTTTTTGACTACTTACGTGACTGTAGGAATAGGAACAGGACTGACTTTATAATTAACAAATGGTGATGTTAGTTCTATACATTCAATAGGTTTGGGGGTTTCTGGAGGTTCTGAAATAATAATATCTCTAGTTGCATTCCATTTAATAGTTATTTTCTAGTAGGCTTTCATCCTATACTTAAGGTATTTCCAGTCCAAATTAATATCTCTAGTAGTTATGCAATGTCATGCTTGACATTATGGTAGGGTGCCCCACCATAAATAAATATCTCCAAATATCTCGACAATTACACCACAATATTTATATATACACCAAGCCTTAAATCAGTTTCGCACATTTATAGTCACTAAATAAACGGTCATGCTCATTTAATCATCCATAAATAATACACTGAAAGATGGTTCAAGTGTCCGCCATAACATCTGAGCACATAACATCTGTGCTCTTGTTTTGAAAGTAGTCTTGCTTAACCCGTCTACCGACCATTCTACGTTTGATTAACAGGCCGGGATAAACAAGACTACTTTTTTACAAAACATAACAGAAAGCTGGAACAAAAAATTGAATTTAGAAACACGCACGTTAGGCAACTCAATAATTGTTTTAAGAAACTTGTAAAAGTAAAATGAAACTACTGCTAGTATCATGTTCTTGCCCAACTCAAGTATTTCAGAGATATTATTTGTACTAAACCAAACGATGCCGCTCCTAATGGTACAGTTAATGATAAAGCAATTTAAAAAATAAAACGAACGTAATTTCTAAAGCTGCTGTAATAACCAATAAGCTAAATATTACTGCTATTCAGAATCGTCAACCATAGATTTTTACAACTGTAATAGTTGATAGATGTGTAGAGAATTGCACGTGTAATGGCCATTTATAGTATCATAGACTCTTCCGCTGAGTGTTATCATAGTGCGTAGTGTATGAGAGAAATCACTTCAAGATAAGCCACTGAAGTGTGTACATTCGCCATGTTGAGACCAGCTTTCTGTACGTTGCACGGGTCACCCTAATTATGGGATTAAGAGTCTTTGATCCCCGTGGTTTTATTAGATATATTACTTAAATATAAATCATTATACAATAGAATAACATGTAAGTATATATCATTATTAAAAAACATACTCTTGCTTTTGAGAAGATCATTTGATAATTTGGGTGACCTGAGACCCTTTACCCAGTTATCTCCCTTGAATGAATGGCGGGGGGTGGGGGGCATAATTAGGGAATTACTGGAAAACAATTTAAATACAGATTAAAGCAGCTATGCGTAGTCATGAGCTTGCCCATACAGGGTGTGATTTTATGATAATCAAAGTACTGGAAGTGATATACTTTTATATAAGAAAATGTAAATATTAAGTGGCTAAAAATCTTGACTTTTCAATGTTTGTGATGTTGAATGTTGAGGCTACTCCGATTCAAATCTCAGTCAATATTAATGCTAGGGTCATATAACTTTGCAGTTTTACTTAAGTCTGTATGTATTATAACATATTTTTTTCAGAATTTTCTGAGGGGGTCACTTTACAACTTTCTGAAAAATTGGTCCACTTGACATGGACTCAATACTCATCGAGAATCAAACCAATACCATGGCTTAGATATTGCTACAGGTAGATTCTTAGCATGTTCTGAAAATCCCCAAATTTATCAGCACCGATATAAATATTGGATTATTATGCAGCCACAGAGTCTTGTTCCTCGTCAGAATTAACCACGTCCCCAAGTAGTTATATCAGTCATGTCAAGAAGAGTGAATAACTATTAGCACATTACCGTCAAAAATCAATATTTCATTAGATTAAAAATTATGGGTAGAGAAACAAGAGGTTGCCATGCAAGATATGCCTACATTTTGCAAGAGATGGATAGAGAACGTGCTTAAAACATGATTTTTTGTACAATCATGGGCCATAATACATGAAGTTACAGTCCAATATGCACTAATATCAAAAGGAACCAAGGATCTTTAGGATATAAACATATCTTTTAAGTTTCAGCAAAATCGGATAAAAATTGTGACCTCTACTTTTACACTTTTTGTGAACAACGAGCAGCCAATTTGGTCGGATTTTCATAAAATTCAAACACAAATGTCATTGGGGCTTAACATTGATATATTTGAAAGGTTTTTAAAATTGGATAAAAATTGTTACCTCTCGAGTCTCCACAAAATAAAAACATGATTTTTGTACAATCAGGGGCCATAATCCACCAAGTTACAGTCCGACATATGTCAATATCGAAAGGAACCAAGATATTTGGGATAAAAACATGCCAATATCAAAGATCTTGGGAATATAAACCTATATTTCAAGTTTCGTCAAAATCGTATAAAAAATGTGACCTTTAGAGTGTCCACAAACAAAATGTGAATGGACACATGGAAGGACGGACAGGGGCGACGACAATATACGTCTACATGAAAATGTGGGCATATAAAAATAATAATCCCACCCAATACTTTTCAAACAAAAAGTTTGCAATTCAATAAATAGTGTGATTTTGTACTAACCTTTTGGTTCATCAGATGGTGTTTCCTTCTTCTTACGAGGTCGAATTTGTTTCCATGACGGAATGACTTCTGGTACTGGAGGAGGTTCAAGAGGACAAGATCGTGTTTGTGTTATCCACACTGGATGAGGAAACAGATAGGATAATCCTATTTGTCTTAATCTTTCACTGGCATCAGCCTGATAAATGGAAGGAACAAAAACATCTTTGAATGATTTTCCAATTATGCGAACAAAGAATCTGTTTAGTTTTAGTCTCTTATTTTGTTGTAACAAAATTTTATAACTGTACTGATATACAAACCATTTCTCCTAGTGCTGAAACTTTCACTGGATACTTGGGTGTACTTGTATAGGTGCCAAAGAATACAACTTCAGGTTTTTCTGGAATCGGAGATTCGTCATGTTTTTCTCCTGAAAATAATGTAATAATCCCATATTTTCAGTTATACTGGTACACGTATATCTTAAAGAATAGATTTGAATATCAAATCAATTAATATATTTTATAGACTTTGCTATATTTGACCAGAGTACATTGAACAATTATTAGTGGTCTTTTTTTTAATATTTTAAATAACAATATATAATTCAGATAGAAACTTATAAATATAGAAATTATATAGAAATTGACAGAAAATGTTTGTCAAACTACTTATATTTTAGTAATAACTACAAACTTATAAAAGCTGCAGCCGCACACATTTTAAAAACATTTTTCCACAGAGGAACATCTGAATCTTCAGACATGAAAAAATAAAGGGTAAGAAGAGAAAAGTAGATAAGAAGAGAGAAGGAAATAAGAAATATACAAAAGTAACAGAGATTAAGAGAGAGTATGAAAATAAAAAGAATGTGGCAAAACAAGAGAAATTTAACTTCAGCAAACTATACAGATTTGATATACAAACAAAGCAATTCCATTTGGCTACAATTCTGTTTTATTATTCAGTTTAATTTTTAACTTTTAAATGATATTAATTTGGTTGTTGTCAACCAAATGGTTTTAACTAAAAAATCTATCATATCTTAGTCCAAAATGACCTAGTTAGTATCAAGAAGTTTTTATGCCTCAATTTTATATCAAGTTTGGTTTGAATTTGATGCACAATTTGTTCAGAAAATATTTAAATACTTCTTCATTCAACAGTTTTTAAGCGTAAAGTGTGCCGTCTATCATTATCAAAGAAGTGATGATTGAAGTAAGTATCTTAGCAAAGAGAAGCTAAACCATCTGGATCACAATACATTTTTACTATATGTTTGGTCAGGAAATTGAGTTTCCGTAATAATGAATCAAATTTACTATTTAAATTTTCATTCCAAATAATTTTTGTCCTAAAGTTGAGGTTTCTGGATTATCATAAAGAAAACCAGGCTCCACCGGATAAATCTTTAAAATACCTTCAAATGGGTAAATTTACATAATTAGATGGAATAAAGACTAATTTGCTGAAGTAAGTTAATTTTATAGATTAATTAGAAGAAGAATTCAGCAGGAAAAGCTATAGATGGGGAGATAATTATCCTCTTTCCAAATAACTTACTATTTTTATCTTTATCTTTATCACCCTTATCTTTCTTTTTATCGTCTTTCCCGTCCTTACCTTTATCTAAATATGTACAAAAAAAAATTCTTACTGAATTAAAACATAAAATCACATAATTACATTTTATGTTCATTGTGGGTTAATTCAGACAAAAAAGAAAGAATAGAATACATCAGTAATCTATTCAATTAATCAAAACATAGCCAGAAGCTAAGAATAAAAAAAAAAACATTAAAAAAAACCATTAATAATCTATCTAATTAATTAAACAATTGACAGGGACTCATTAATATGTCTGTACTAACTATAAAATCATTGTCAATAATTCCCAAAGGGAAGTTCTAAAATAATCTACTTCTTCCTTGTTCTCAAATGAACAATATCGTGTTTTTAAAAATTATCTTAAGAACTTTATCCTTTACTGTGTTTACAAGATTTCCTAAATATAAAATTGAACCGAGATCGAAAAATTTGTAATCTCAAATAAACATATCCACCAATCAAAATGTCAATAACTAGCCCAGAAAGATAACAGTTCAAAACTTCGGATAAAAAAATTTACAATTTGATATGGTTCTTCCATATAATATAGTAAACAATTTGAAAACAATCACAAGAAATAATGGACAGTCTGACAGATGACTAAAATCTGATTTCTTTTGAATCTGTACATAAATATGTGATAAAAGATAATATTTAACAAGCCAATAACCTTTATCCTTTCCGTCTTTTCCTTTGTCTTTTCCATCTTTTCCCTTTTCTTGTTTGTCAGATTTTCCATCTTTGACGTCTTTTTCTGTTTTATCATCTTTTGGAGGTTCCTAAAATATTTCAAGATATTCATTAAATGGTGAATTTTAAAGCTGATTTTAAATTTTTCACCACTGACGCATTTTGTATAATTCTTTTTCATTTTTAATATAGCAGTGCAACTACATTGTCTAATTAAAATTCAATTTAAAATTTGATTTTTAAACAATAAAAAGAAACTAACCGCTGTATTACTGCCATCTTTCTTAATACCATCTACTGTTTCTGTAGTTTGTTTTTCCTGTCCTTGTATTGGTAGTTTCCATTCGGGTATATTTTCTCGTAATAATTCCCAGATTTCTTTTAAATGATTTGGTCTAAAAAGAAAATTTATTGTTTCGTAAATTTCTTAAAATGAAAATCATAAATACAAAACTAATAATATCATCATCAAATTTTCAGACAATATCTAATTTTTCACAGTGAATCCATGATAAAATGTACACAAATTTGTCATTAAACATTTTATTAAGAAAACAAAATCAGATTATCATTAGTAGATAAATCCTGGCTTGGATTTAATCGGATTAAAAAGATGTCCATCAAAAGATTATAATGAAGATGAACGGTATCACTAGCTTGTTTTGACCATTATGATTTTAAAATTGTCTGCAAAGGATGTCAAATGTTGATAAATTTTCAATTCATCATAACTTCAACTTTTACAATATTGTAGTTTGCAAGTTAATTTCAACTTTTATTAATTTAAAATTTTTCATATTTGAAACTATAAAAACATAATCTTAGAACACCATGCATATCGTAACTCAAAAAACTCTTAAACAATAAATAAATTTTCAAATCTTTACTACTTTTTTCAAGAAAAAAAAAAAGAAAATAATACAAACCTAAAAAAAAAAAAAATCAACCGAAATATGATGAAATAAAAATACTGATAAAATAAAGTCGCAGAGAAAGTCATACCTACTTTTAATAACAAAATTAAAATATATATTATATATATATATACCTAGACAAAACTAATGAAAGTAATATGATTATTCACATGCAAAGAAATGGAATTATTTCATTCATTAACTGACTCCAACAAAATATTGGTACCCCCTTAATTTTGTTTTTTGCATTTTTTTTATATAGCGCTTCGATTCCTCGGGTTCAAGACAAAAAGCAAAGAACATTTCAAGAATATCACTGGCAGAGATGATAGTTTTTTCTTGTAGATACAATATAAAGTCTGTTGATTTTAAAAACTGTAAATTAGTAGGTATAGCCACTTTCCTATGATGAAATAAAGGCATAATAATATATCTATATTTATGAAAAAAAAATTAGCAGAATTATTATTTATAGATAAACAAAATAAGAGCATAATTTTCTGAATGTATGGACATCATAATGATAAGAGTTTTTTCTATGGCTAATTTCAACACTAGACATCATTTCTATTTTAACCTTATTTGTCTTCAACTATGATTTGAATATAAATTCCAAACTAAGTTCCACTATCACAGAATCTCTTTTATCTTTTATATTATTGTTTTACATGGTTATACTTACTGTAATGGAATAGCCTCTGGTAACCAGCCAGTTAAAGCATGAATTACACTAAAATCTCCAAATTCACTACTGTTACTACCACCAGTATAGCTGAAAACAAAAACAGGGATAAAGCCTTACTCCGATGAAGTTATGCTGAAAAAGTATTGTAACATATTCTTTATTTTGTCTTACATATTTACGTAATAAACAAAGCGGAGTGCTTCATTTTAAAAATAAATTGTCACAAAAATTAAATGCGATTTTCAGCTGTAACTTGTCTATTGTTTGTATAAGAATCATGATAATCTTGACAATCACTTATAATTATACTAGAGAGAGAAAGAGAGAGAGAAAGAGAGAAAGAGAGAGAGAGAGAGAGAGAGAGAGAGATGGGGTTTAACGTGGACACAAACTAGGTCATTTCAGGACTAACATATGGTTTTAATTTTATTTCAATAATTTGCTTGTGCCTAGGGGTCTTTAGCAGTGGGAGGAAACTGGAGGACCCAGAGAAAACCCACGAGGTTGGACAGGCGACCCTACTCCTTGTCACGTACAACCAGGGATTCGAAACCATATGTTGACTCAATGATAGGCCTTATGATACAGCGCGCGCGTGCTAACCATTCGGCCATTCACCCCCCGCCCTTATAATTATAATCTACTATAACTCAGAAAGGTATAGTGTGGAATTTGGGTTATTATCACTAAATACTGAAAATTTGTATTGCTGACATGTAACGTTTTAACGATATTCTCAATTCATATATCAAATGAAATTGATGTTACATTTTCACTTTAATTATTATGAACTTAGAATTAGAAATTTTTGTCTTTTCATACTTACTCTAATGAGGCAACTTTTATAAGAGCCTTTGATAAAAGCATTGGCCATAACTCTTGTTGTAGCGTGGATGCTGGTAGCAACAAGTGCTCATTTTCATCAAAAGGAAGTAGATCATCTACATATATTTTACGCCAGCATCCCTGATAAAATACAACATAAATATAACATACATATAAATATGGTAAAACCAGCCTTTGTGAGCTTTAAAATGTATTTGTGTTTTAAAATAATAATGAAAAATATTTGGAGAAAAGTTTTTAATCGTGACTTATATACATGAAAATAAGACATGAAATGAAAAGATTAACACTTAATCAATAACATATTTTTACAGACTAATAAATTAAATCTATGCTTGTTTTATCATTATTTGTTATGTAAAGAACTATTACAAATATATCAATGTCTTTTGATGCTGGGCGACCCCCAAAAATTGCTTGGTTCAGAAGTCATAAAAATTTTCTAGTATATTTTGGAAGGGTTGGTCTGAAACCAAAACTCCTACAATTTTCTTTTTAAGCTTTGTAGAAGGAATTATGTTGGGTTTTATGAAAAGTTTATTATGTTACGTATGATTTTAAGCTAAAGGCCAGCTCACACAACAGGATAGTATTCAGCAACTTGAACATAAAATATGTCAAAGTAAATGCCATCAACATTTGGTTTGATATAATTATGCAATATGTTCTACAACATCTGTGAATCAGTATTATGGTTTTCTATGAATTCTCTTCCCTGATATCAAAAAGTTAAAGTATATGTTATCAACTTCAAACCATCTGGTTTGAAATAGGTCAATGATTCAATATCATGGTTTCCTATGAATTTTATTTTGTGATAAAATATCAGCTGACAATGTGCAATAAAACAAAGCATAGACTGGCCCCCTGATATACCCACCACATCAATGTTAGCTATAAAACGAATGCCAAAGGGTGCCTTTTATACACATAGAGGACGAAAACACTTTATTTTCTAGGATGGCTCTGTTCAAAAAATCCCAAAATACACTGTTGGTAAGGAGAAAATGACACTTACCATCCAATAAAGTCGAACTATATATTTTCCATGAGAATTATACAAGGGTACATGGGGCCCTTTCCCAGCTTTACATAGCGAGTAAATATGTTCCCATGGTTTCCAAGAATGAGAGTTATCTTCTCCTGGGGGTTGTGAAGGATCGTTGACATCAGGAACGTTTTTGACTAAACTCATCTCCCATAATGCTGTTATTTGACTAATGATGTAACGTAGAAGCTAAAATGGAATTAAATAAACTTATTACTTGGAATATGAACACTGAATTTCTCAATTTTAATTTCTCAATTAGAAGGCGTCTTAAGATTTGTGCATTTAGTTCTTTCTTCTTTTTTTTTTAAGTGATTTCACCCAATATTTTGATAACTACAAATGGGTTTAATGACTAACTGTCTTGTATTTACCTCACTATCATGTAGATGTTCATTTGGTGTAATTAAATCAAAGGTTGATTGACCCTCATTATCAATAATAACAGGAGCCTGTAAAGAGATTATATAAAATACATCAATATTTCTGAAGGTGATACATTTACTCATTATGATAAAAAGTATAAGTTATCAACATAGTCCTGAAGACAAACAAGAAAATGAAATAGGGTTTAACACCAACCGGGCAGTGTGCTATGGATGTTGAACTTTAGCCCGGGCAACTGCACTATAGCTTACTCTTCTTTTGCATTCCAACTGTCATGGGTTCTTTTAGGTGCATGCCAATGTGTACACAGGACCTCAATATTTTTAGTCCCATCCCAACAACTAGATGTTGCTCAATGCCAGGCCTTACATCACTGACAAAAGGAAACAAGGACCTTTCTGGGCAAACACCAAGAGCAATGACTGTTTATTTCTAGGCAGTAATACATAAAATAAAGCCTAGTTGTTACTTCATACTATGCCTTTTGTACATTTCTGTATTCTGCACTTTACATTGATAAAATATAAACATTTCCACAATTTGCATATATTTCATATTGATTTTTACAATTCAGGAAGTAGAAATATTGTAATTATATCGCAATATTCAGTCATAATAATTACCTTATCTATGATGTAATCATGTGGTCTTTTCCAGTGATCCACTTTAATTGTTTGAGGCATTTCCACTTTTCCATCTGGGTCATCAAAGAAATGCTGTGCCTGAAACATCAGAATAAAAGATACAGAATCAATACTGGGACCTAACAAAAAAAACAGTAAAAAAATATTAAAAAATATATAAATTAATCCAGCGGTGAACAGTAATTTATGATGAAAAAGGAACTTCCCTTAGTTAGAAAGCATGTATGTCAATCGTTATTATAATTAGCACCTAATGTTAAATCAATTTTGGGGATGTTAGGTTACCGAATGTCTAAACTATGGAGTTACAAATAGGTTTCATGTGCAGCAAGGATTAAATCCCCTAATCCAAATATGTACATGATCGGTAAATCTAAAAAACCTAATTCTGTTTAGCAGATGTTAAACACTCTTTTTCTTCTATAAATTTTGGGGATGTTACGGCACCGAAGATCAAAAGAATGGAGTTTGTTCCCTGTGCAGTAAGGATTCAATTTTCAAATCCAAAATTTGGTACACAATGTTTACTGTTTAGTCCTGAAAAAATACCTAATTATGTTTAGCACTAATAGCAGATGTTAATCTCTCTTTTTCTCTTACTATAAATTTCTAAGTAGTTCTAATAATTTACTTACCACTGTTGGGGATTTCCCTTTTTTATCCTCTTTGGCTTTGTGTGCGGCTTCCTGTAATAGAAATAATCATTTCTATTAAGACAATTACATGTTCATCACAGAACTGACTAATTTTACTTTCCATCTTTCTTTTTCCTTGTGAAGTGCCTTTTCTATATTCTGTTTATGTAATTATGTGTGGTTGTGTGATTTGATAATGTGTATACATGAAAAGGGCACAATATAAGTGGATTAATAATATTACTATTATTAAATTATAAATCAATAAATACTGGATCCTATCTAAATGATAAAGAAAATGGTTCCTCACAGATCTTCTCATTTATGCAAAACACAACCTCATGTCTTAAAGCAGACTTTCTTTCCATTTTAACATGATAATGGAAAAAGAAAATTACTGCAAAAAAAACTATGACTAATCAATAAGCTTATACATTTTAGTTTTTCTAGAAAATATCTTTAGAATTGTCATTATTATAATTCATATAAAAACATCTGCATGTAATGTTTGGATTATTAAATGGATTCATTAATGAAATCAGCCATCAGCTCAAAATATACCTAGACATGATATACTCTCATTACATACAATCTTTACACTTTTCCTGTTTCCATTTTATAGCCTACGTTATCAGGTGTGTCCTTATTAGGTAGCATATTGATGACAACTGGCGAAAGCAGAAATGAGCACGGTAATGTATGTAATTATCTCCAATTCCAGGAAACAATTTGAATAGAAGCTTTAATGAGCAATCATCTTATTTCTGCCATTTATAATATTATCTTACTGCTCTTCAATATTGCCGTTACCATGGTAATTATTTTATAAAAATCTTTGCAAATACAATCAATATGTACAACATAGATTCTAGAGAATCACAAGATGACGAAGTTTCATAACTTGTTAAATCAATGACTATTTACTTTCTGTCCAGATAAACATAATTATATTATATAATGCAGACAAGGTGTTAATACACATTCAATATGTAGGGAGCCAGAATAATTTCAAACCTCAGCTGTGAAATAGATTATTGCTGATATCAGCTTCATATACAGTAATCAAATTCTAAGTTTGTAGAAACAGCCTTGAATTAAGATTACCATAAGTGATTTGCACTTTTCTGCTTCGATTGGGTTAATGAAGACAGGCATACACCATGCAGTGTGCTATTAGGGTTATTTTACTTGGATAGCGGCGCTACAGCCTACTCTGATATTAAATTCCAACTGTCACAGGCTCTGTTACCTGCATGCCATGTGTACACGATGTCTTGCCAGGCCCTCCATCCTGCACCACTGACACTGCAGCTCAACAATTACAATGAAACAAGTAAATTAAGATGACGTGACATCACCATCCTGCACCCTTGCACTTGTTTGGAAGGCATAAAGAAAAACAACTTATTGGAATATCAATGAGACTAGTCAGAAGATTCATACTCTGGTCACAGTAGCTCGGCAAGGTACGGTTGCTACTCCCTGTAAGGTTTGCACAACAGCCTTCGCCTACCTCAATCAGCTGCTGTATGTTAAACATTAAGCTTATATACATCAGAAAATAAAATACTATAATAGTTTGATGTTTGTACAAAGTTTCAAAACGATTTCTTGAACGGATAATGAAATATGCTCTGGAAATGAAATTGGGACTGAAGGATGGACATAAGAAATTAAAATAATAGGTTGATGAATGTAAAAGTGTTATAAAGGTATCTTGAACAGTTTCTGAGATATGCTCTAGAATAATAATTATATACCAAAAGCTACATGTAATTCAAATGTGTAGTAAAAATCATTCAACAGAGAATTTTGATTTCATGGAAAAACAAAAATTATTAAATCCGACAAATTACTATTAGCAAAAGGCACAACTACTGTAACAGGATGATGTGTGTGCAAATTTTTAAAAAGATAGTTTGAACGGTTTATGAGAAATACTCCGGAAATAAAATTGAACACCAAAACCTTTAGAAGTCAAATTTGTTTCCTAAATAGCAAAAGGCACAACTACTGTAATAGGTTGATGTGTGTACAAAGATTCAAAAAGATCTCTTGAACGGTTTATGAGATATGCTCCGGAAACGTAATCGGGACAGACGGATGGACACCATTTCAATATCCCTCCCAAACTTTGTTCGGCACGGGATAATAAGATGGACAAGGGCAAATTATGGAGAAGTGGCACAAGCAAAAAAGAAATATTAAATTGGGGTAAATCTGGACAGTTTGAGGCACAAGACAAAAGTGAAAGGAAGAATTTCTGTAGAAATTAAAATTTTAAATAAGCTAACCCATTTCTCTCCATTGACATCGACATCATTCCATTCTGCCCATACAGTAATTCTTGGTCTCTTTGAATCCTGACCACCAGCACTTGCTGCTATTGATGCAGCTCTGAAAGAAGAAAAAATAATTTTTAATTTTAAGATGTAATACTAACAGTAAGCTTATATCAGTTCAGTTAAATTATATTCAATTCCTTCCTTTGGGTATTCTTCCTTTTAATAATCAATATTGGGCAATGATTAATAAATTACATTAAATCCTTCTATTTACACAGTCCTTAAAGCAGTGATTCTCTACCAGTGTGCCGCAAGATCTTCCTAAGTGTGCCACGAAATTTTGAACGGTACACTAGGAAAATTGAGTATTCACTGGTGTCTACTGGTAACTTCATAGCTGCGTTTTTCTTTCTTTAATTTGAGTCACTCTCTGTGTCTATGACTAGTCCGTGTGTACGGTTGTATGCCGTCTATGACTTGTCATGTTTTTATTTTGGAAAATTCAAATATTTTTCATATATTTAGCCAGTTGGCAAAAAAAGTTTGAGAATCACTGCCTTAAAGTAAATGAAAGGAAAAGAATGGAAAGAATACTATGTATTCATAAATCAAAGGAACACAATATAGTGTTGATTTCTTTTTTATTTTTATACAATAATGCTAAATTATATGATTATATGAGGCATTTGTCCTCATTGGTGAACCCTGGGACATCTATTTTTCCGAATCATGCAGATTTGGGGGCTATGTCATGATATAAAAATTAATATTGCTAGAGCTAAAATCCTTCATAATTGATTTTGAGCATTATTGAGCCTCATTTCCTTTTAAAATAAGCTTATGTAAAAACATCAAATTGGTATTAATGGACAAAATTGATGTTCAATTATAGATTAATATTTTTAAATCTATCAAAAATATATCCACTCATGGTTCATCTTAATTGTTTCTGGCTTCTTTCAGCGTCTTCATTTTAATAGTTGAACTGAATATGTTATTCACAGAGAATTATAAGAACTACAGGTTACAATATTGTTTTTTATCCTTTTTTTGTTAAGATTGAAGAGATTTTGTTTTTTCGCATGTGTGAAATTAAACTAGAACTAAATATGTATCGATTCTAATTATTTACTGGTACCGGTACACAAACATTCACTTCAAATTTGGAACAACTAAAAAAAAAGACCTTTTATATGGAAGCTTAAACGTCCAAAAGAGAAATTCTTGGAGCTATAAAGTAGATATCAAGCAATTACAAATCAATATGGTTGAATAATAAAAGTGTGATGTAAAATGATAGAAAGAATGAAAGGGTAAATATTTAATGAGCGTAGATGAGAGGTAATATGTGTTGTTATATGGCTAACCATCTGTCATATTATAAACGCTAAAATAGAAATCAATAAAAACCAAAACCCCAGGTAGTTGTACATCTCATCTCTCATTTCACTGACAACATTAAAGGTAAAATTCCGCACGGTCATATTATTCATGTAGTTATCAGAACAATCTATTAAACAATAAAAACCTTCCACAATTCATGAAATTGCAGTATATGGATCCACAATCTCGTATCAAAACCAATATTGAAATCACCTCATCAAAAATGCTTTTACCTTTCTAATAATACAACAATTATTCCATCAATTCACCATCACATATTGCCATTTTGAACTGCTAATATTGATGTGGACATTTTACCACAGGTTAATTTAATGAAATAATTCAATACCATAATATCTAGGAAAACTGATAAAATCCTATCAAATATGCAAAAATTAATGTTAGTATTCATTTAATATTTGAAGAGTGGAAATTATTGTCAACATGGTACCGGAAAATAACCCAAATCTAACTTCCTGGCAATCCAGGTATTGTAATTTTATATTTTTCCAGAAAAGAATTGCAATTTGAAACTGATAATAAAAAGCATGCTAAAGATAATGGAAAATATGTTATAGCACTTTAGAAATTGAAATAAACACATTCCTATCATAAAAACCTTTCTGATATTATTTTTTAGTCAGTGTTAAAGGGAGAAATTAATTGAATGACTAGTGTGTGTACTATGTATGCATATTACAACATGTGTATAAAGATTTGATCTGGATTGCCTGTATTTTATTACTGGTAAATAGATCAGATGTCATACAAGCATGTCAAGGAAACTGGACAACAGAACAGAAATAAAAACTAAGTTGGCACAAAGATTCTGTTTTAAAAGAAATAAATAAAATCTATATAGTTGTAACTGTAATAATAATATTATAAATATAGGGTTTAATGTCCACTTAATATAAATGAGGATATTTTAGGACTAACATATGGTTGGCTTATATCTTTATTTCAATAATTCTTTTCGGGGGCGGATCCAGGGGGGGGGGTCCCCCCCCCCCCCCCTGCTCATCTAAATAAGAACATTTGTAAAACAACCTTTTATGAGAAAAGTGTCATAATTGTGCTTTACCCTTTATTGTCAGATGGTGTGACAGGATGGGCACTCAAAGTGCGAGATAATGATATAGACATAATATGTGATATCACAATTAATGCTTTGCATCAATAAAATTGAATCACTATGTCATTGTATTAATTCATAATAAAAAAAAATTGACGTCAAACAAGATGTTGGATTTCTCTGTTTAAAAAGCTCAATGTGTATGTATATACGCCAAAATGACGATAAAGACCATGTATTTTTCAAAAAATTTCAAGCCGAGGGGGGGGGGGGGTACATTTTCTCAGGAACCTGGCAAACCCAAACCCCCTCCTGCAAAAATTCCTGGATTCGCCCCTGTTTTTGCGCTTGGATATCTTTAGCGGATGAGGGAAACTGGAGATCCCGGAGTAAAACCACTAGATAAGGCATGCAAGTGCAACCCTACTGACTGTTCTCTTATGATTAAAAGACTCCAAGTTGATACAGTAACCTTCCCATGGCCTTAAATTCATAGATGATTGAAAATTGTGTTAAAATAGAAGGTTGTAATCTCTGGCTATATAGCTTTCATTTGGTTTATATTAAGAAAGTTATTAAAAGGATTTCTGTAAGTAAGAAATCAGAGTTGTTGGGAAATATATTTTAATTATTCATGTGTGCTTACTAGTGGGCTCTATTAACTATCATGTGATGTTAATCTGTCCTACCTTATTTCCAAATAACTTTTCAGATACCAATTTCTCAACAACTAATAAATTTAATATCAAATTTTCACAGATTACCTTTGGGAAGGAGGGTATAGAACTGAATAAGATAGATTGTTGCCAACTGAAATGACCTCCTGACATTATTAAGGATATATCTTAAAATTAATCTAATGGCAGTTATCAAAGAGAGAAAAACTGGGATTAATATCCACTCAACACAAACTAGGTCTATAGCAGTGTGGGGGGGGGGGGAACTGGAAGACACAGAGAAATCACACAAGGTTGGACAGATGACCCTTCTTCTCGTCACACACAAAAACATTACTTGACTCAATGACATAACTTATGATCTAAATTGGATGTGTTTGACCCCTGATAACCCCAAAAGTCAATGGGAATCCTACAAATTTGCTGACAATCATTTATACAAAATTGCTTTGGATTTGAAATTAAAACTAAATAAATATCATCCTCCAGACATAAATAAAGTTTAATTAATTAACATACCTGTACCTGTTAACTTGTGTTCTAATTAGTAATTACCACACCTATACTCGAGAAAATCAATCCTGATTAATATTAACACCTGTATCTAGAAGACACTGTCTTGGCTACACAACTAAATATCTAGTACCTAACTACAAATACAGTAAACCCCACCCTCACCCCAATCACAGTAAAACCGTTACGTTCTGCAACTACATTACTACTGCCTGTTACAATGACGAAATAAAGTGTTTGTGTCACTTATACTTCTGACAGGTGACTATGTTACATATTAATGAGGCGAGGATTGGCTGGCCATTCTACAGGTAAAATCAATAGTCAAGCTATGATGAATTATTTTCTACTGTCAGCTTACAGCCAATTCCACATTGATTCCACCTTTTAAATTAGCCAAGACTTTTGTCTGTTGTATTTAATTCTTTGTCTATCCTTCAATCATTAGGCCTGTGGCAAAAGATAAAGAGATTTAAAAAAAACAATACATCTTCCTAATCCATCTGTAACGGGAGGTGATTACCTCAACTACCCTGCCTTCGACTGTCACTTGTAGAAAATTACCTTTGATTGCAGTAATCATTTGAATTGGATCGAAGTAAAAAGGATCAATTATCTTATTTTCATTTAACAGTTGTTGTGCTACGAGAAATATTGAGAATTTATAGTCTTTGTAAATGACATAATAGTTAATGTTAAAAGCTTTTTTAGATTTTTTTACCTGATCTGTGACATGATATATTGGGATAGTAGAACATTTCATACATTAATTCCATCTGATAATTTCTAGGTTTAATTTTGTACCATAAAAATCAATTAAAAGCAGAAGATCCCAACCTTGCTCCCTCCTTCCTACCCCTCTAAAAATCGAAGTGCACTTAAGAGCCTTGCCATAAAAAACAGCAAAATATTCACCATATTTTGACAAGGAGAACCAGGGATTCTTTTCCAACTAGTTCTTAACTATATCAAAACGAACATTCACATGGGGGATAATGATTTTTTCTTTTTTTTTGTAAACAATATTTTATTTCAAATTTATGAAAAGGGATCAGGGAACTAAATCTCTTCAAATCAATGTCCTACCTATAAAATTTCCAATCTAATTTATACATAAGCTTTTTTCATTAATATTTCAGAACATTAACATAAAATGTACTACATTTAATGTAGGCCCTGGAGAAACCTTGGCCAGACAACCTTGGATAATGAGATGTTTGTAATTGTTATCAATATTATAATCCATTTACTTCCAACCAAGGCTTTTGCTTCAAAATTGGCAGCTGGTCAATTTTTGACATGTTTCACTCTTTTCAGCCAGGGCAGATTTTTGTACAAAGTGGGGCCATAATCCAGGAAGCTACAGTCTGATATGAGTGAATATCGAAAGGAACCAAGATCTTTGTGTTATATAAATATACATTTCAAGTTTCATGAAAATTGGATAAAAATTGTAACTTCTAG